GCCGCGGGTCGTGTTTGTCACCTGATGCGGAGTTCACGAACGGAAGCAAAATCTTGCGAATGCTGCTGTTCATGAACCGAATTGTTTGTTAACAGAAGCGTTCGTGAACCGAGGTATTACTGTATATAAAATATTATACTACTATATAATCCTATCTTGATACACTGAGAACAAACTAATTCTTAAATAGCCAAAAGGGCACTATCAGACATAATATGGAAGTATTAACAGGCTTGAGGGAACATTGCAGACGACCAAAAACACCTTTAGATTTAGAACCTAATCTAAACTATGTCTGTCTGTCTATCTATCTATCTATCTATCTATCTATCTATCTATCTATCTATCTATCTATCTATATTATTCTGCCTTTGAGTCAGTGTTAACTCCTGGCAACTGCCTGAACTAGCCCATGAAGTTTTCTTGGCAAGATTTTGGAAGTGGTTCGCCATTGCCTCCTTCCTAGACCTGAGAGAGTGACTGGCTGAAGGTCACCCAGCTAGCTTTATGCCTAAGGTGGGACTAGAACTCACTGTCTCCCAGTTTCTAGCCTGATACCTGAATCTCTACACCAGACCTAATGAGGACTAAGCATGTTCAGTGGTCATAAAACATTAATGGGGACAATTGGGAAGGTAAAAGAGGAATGAAATGGTATATCCTGGAATTCTCTATTTCATGTGGGAGGATCAGTGAAAAATGCATAGGATTGGCCAGTTGTATCCAGCACTTCCTAATAATATCACCTTGCAGCATATCACTGCAATATTTGAAAGGAGAAGCCAGTCAGCTGCAGAAGAAAGGTGGTGAATCCTATTATTTTGCAGCCCTCCAAAATTTCTAGATAGGATAAAAAAAGAAGATCAGACTCCAAGGCATTTGAGAAGGGTTTTCTTTTAAATATTCAAATTAACTAATTGTTTTTTTCCATTATAAATCAGTGCCACTAAGAAACATAAGGTGGCATTGTTGCAATGAGCTTTTGTTTGATAGAAATCCTGACTTAAAGAAAATGTTTATTTGTGACAAAATATTTTAAAAAACCAGGTGCATCCTGACAAACTTCTAATGCACCCGATTTAGCTGCAGCAATGCAAATAGATCGATGGGTTGTTAATTTTGAGCAATGCCAAAGAGGCGGACTGAAAAAGCAAGAGGTTAAGAAAACAGGAAGAAAAAAAACCCTAGCATTTAAAAAGTAATAAAGAACAAAATGTTCCTCCAGAATAACTGCTCCCCGCAAGAGCTATTTTTAACCTCCTTAGAGGCAACTTCCCAAACCAAAGGCTGTTCAAAGCTCCTGCTTTTTATACCTCCTACACAAAGATATTACATACACGCATAGGGAGGCAGACAAAAAGTCACACACCAACAGAGGAATTCACATATTATGCTAAACTAGGATGGTTTGCTGAAAAAGCCATGATTGAATGTACACATCAGACTAAGCCATAATGTGATTTCTTTTTGATTTTGGCATATTGTGTGATGTGATCTCAGCCATGTAGTTTGTAAACATGGTTTATGTTTTAGGGTGTTGTATGTATTCAACACACTAAATTCAATAAATCATAAATAAACCATGACTTATGGTACATGTATCCTGTCACTGATGCAACACTAAACCATGATTTACCAACCACAGTGGCTGAATTTACATAGCACACAAGCCAGAACTAAACAAATCAAATTATAGCATAGAAGAATGCATGGAGCAAATACGCACTCCTTTCCAAATTATTCACTGATCACACACAAACTGGCTATGCTTGCTCAGAAAAAAGATGTATGGAGTAGTTGTCTATACAAATTGCTTAAGCAACATAGCTTGCATTTGGTTTAAGGAGTTGTTGACAGATGTTACTTGAACATTCTGTGTGCTTGAAAGCATATTCGTATGCCTTCCAAATGCACAGACCTAATGCTTATTTCAGGGCTTATAGTTCAATTGTCATGTGTCTCATATCTCAAAATGGCAGGAACTACCTGATCAGTTTTCAGCAACTATGAACCCATAGTGCTCCAAGGAGAGGTGTCTGCAGGCTATGATCAAAAAAGTCAAGGTGGTGGCTGCACTGATGCAACTGAAGCTCTGCTTTTTAGGTGCATCACAGCACTGTAATACACCTAAATACAGTCACAGGTAAAAAACAGGTGAAGTGTCAATCCCCTCATTGCAGCCACCACCTTGATTGTTTTGACCATAGCCTGCAGACACCCCTGGGTCCAAGGATGAAAAAAAAGACTTGGAAGCGGTCCCCAAACTGCAAGTTGCCTACCTGTACAACAAAAATGGTGATCCTACAGCCCACCATATGTCGCAGAAGTACAACTCCCAGCAATCTTAATGTTGATTTTTGCACAGGGAACAGATCTATTGGCACAGAATCAGGCATGGATCTGAGTAACACAGGATGCTTCATGTGGAAGAATGCTATACTGGTGAAAAGTTTCTATCCTTTGCCTTTGATCCAGAAAGCCATGAAATTATAGATAGCTGCTCTATTAGGATCAACTGTGCTTCTAGCATATCGATAATGAAATGCTTAAGCAGCCAGTTTTCCTCCTCTGGGCAACAGGCTTTCTTCTATAGATACACAATTGCAAGCTGGAGGAGGAATAGCAGCTTGTGTGCCCACTACTTACTGTGCCTAACAGTAAGTAAATGCAGCCAGCTTTTGGGCAATATGAATAGGGAAAGCCTATAAATATGTTTTGCACTACCATCATTGGCAAGAGTGCAGCAATGATCAATCCCTCCACATGGATTTCATTTGCTGGGTCAGAGGTTGATCAAACCTTGTTCCATGAAAACTAGGAACTTATTTCTGTAGAAGGGGAAATTCAGTTCCAGCACTGACAGTATACCTTTTCCAAAAACCGTGCATGAAACTTTTTGGATTCAAATACATACACTGATTCAGAGGATTTTAAAGATTAACATACAATTGAGACCAGAGATGTTTCTTTTGGGACTGATGGACAGTTGGAAAAAAGTCATGGAACTTTGTTTTTGTATATGATAACTACAGCGAGATTATTGTATGCACAAAGGTGGAAAGATTCGGCCATATCTACAATGGAGGAATGGTTGGTGAAGGTGATGGAACTTGCTGAGATGGCCAAATTGACTTGTTTCATTAGAGAAAAGAGAATATCTATATTTACTGGGGATTGGAAACCCCTTATGGACTTTTTGTGTAAAACAGAAAAAAATAAACTTATGATTTATGGTTTTGATGATTAAATAGGATTATAGAAAGAAGAGTCATGATGTAACTTTAGAGAAAGAGGTAAAATTATCATTGTACTTATAACTGCTGTAAAGAAAATCAGAAGCCACTTCTTTGTATTTTCTTTCCTTTTTTTTACTTTTTTCTTTCTTGCTTGCACTTTTACCTCTTTGATTTTTCTTTTTTCTTCCTTACTTTATATTAGTTTGTATTAGTTTTTATCTTCATTTTAAAAACGTTTTAAAATTCATTTTCAATTTTTTAAAAAAACTGTGTATCTATTATGACTGACAAAAAGGTGTTTCTCAAGTTCATTTCTAAGGGTTCTTTATTTCAGAGGTTCTTGCCCCTTTTGGCACCTTTCAGATCTCCACCTTTCAAACAATATGGACTTTCTAGAATGAAGCTCTGAAGAGGCATCCAGGGCTTTTCTAACTTGTTGATGAGGTTAAAATGTCACCAGTTCTATGGATCAATAGGGAAATGTGAGAGGTAAGCAAATAAATAAGGTTACTGGGGGAGAGTGGAGCAAAAATCCCTTTCTTGTGGGACTCTAGAAGAGGAAGTTGCTTGAAATAGACCCCTTTCTTTTGTTGACACATTGTTCTCAGTTCTGCTGCCTTAGTAATAGCTCCACACCATTATTAGCACAATAGGGTAATCATTTAAAATGATGCAGATCCTGCTTTTCTTAGTGTTGAGCTGGGATCAGAGGTACTAACTGAATCTCTGTATCTCACACAAGCACAAGGACTCTCTGTATATTATTAGGGTAAGGGTATCTTCCCCTAAAAGATGGTGGTCTTCATGATCTTGCTATGGGTAAACCTGGAATAACTTTCCCTAGCCAGCCACTGTACAGATGTGTTGGGACTGTAACTCCCAGAATTTGGCCATGCCAGATAGAAAGAATTGCAGCCCTGATATATTTGGAAAGGTATAAGGCTACAGAAGGCTGTAGTATATGTAGATATGATGTGAAAGAATCCTGCTGTCTCTTACTGAAAATAAACCATTGATTATTCCCCTGGTCTGTAATGCACACACTCTTTCATTGGCTCTGAAGGCATTCCAACTATTAACAGAACACCAAGAATGTTTTTTTTCCCCCAGGTCTCTGATCTATAATAAATCTCTGATTTTATTAGCTTTTAATTTGCAAATGATTTCTATGTAACATTTTAATCACAAAAAGAATGGATAACATTCATCACTCATTTTTTGTATGTGAATATTTGTGCTGTGTTTATCATTAGTATGTTTGTGCCTATTACAAATATATTTAGTAATGTATTGTTAGACTACATTCATTTATTGGACATTCAGTTAACCTTTTTGTGATTACCGCATGAAGTTGAAGTTTCCTTTACGGGATATTTGTGCAAAAAACCAGTGGGACAACATTGGGTTAATTTTGATCCCTGGGTTTTATCCTCCTCCCCTCCCCAAGCCAACACAGGCCCAGCAAGCAGCTACTTGTTATGGGCATCCTTTGTAGAGGGATTTTTGCTTTATACATGTCCTTCTCATCTTCACACTCTCAACGCATATTCTACTGCCTGTTTCTTCTTACTGGCCACTTGCTGTGAATTATATTGGATGCCCTACAGTCAGGTGGTTCCCCTTCCTTTGCAAAGCAACAACTTAAGATAACAGGTTTGCTAAGATTTGGGCCTGTCTTCATTTTCTCTTCAGCAGAAGACAAAAAGAAAAAAAAAGGCAACTGGGAGTACAGTACTAGAATGATTTCTAACACAGCAATACTCCAAAACTTATTTATTTACAATATTGGTAAACCAGCCCAATTGACACTGAGCAGTGTATAAGAAGCAATTTAATCTGGTTTTCATCCTGACCCCATTCCCAACACATCAAAGGCAAATTGTGTTCTTTGAGCTGGAAAAGGGCGGAAACACCTGCCATCAATCTCTCATACAAAATTATTCTTGGTCACTTGTGGCCTCAGTAAAGAATAGAGGCTCAAAGCAAGCTGCATTGTCCAGGGATTCTCTGAGCTAAACCAGTGGTCAACAACTGATCCATTCAGCAAATTACTAGAGGACTTTCTGACTTACTTCCTCATGATCTTTCTAAATGGAGTTTCAAGGAGCTTGAATCCCAAGACTTTTATATGTAAACCCTGTGCTTGACAACCAGGCAATGAGTCTTCCCATCTAGTCTTCCTTTTGGTCTCTTGGGTGTGCAATGTAGAATATGCTACAGAAGCACAACAGATAAAAGAGGTGACTTAATCCACCCAAGTTACATTGGTTCCAAGGGGGAGTACTGTCTAGAAAAACTTGCTTAGAGGTCAATACATCCCAAGCAATCCTTTCAGAATAATACTTTTGGCAAGAAAGTGAGAGCAGAGAACATGCTTTATTGAGAAGTTGATACACTTGTAGCATATTCTAAAATATCCAGGAAAACAGTTTTGCTTCTGTACAAGAACAGCCAGCCTCCCTTCGTCACAAAAGAGAGCATTACCCCATCATTTGCAATAATCTAGAAGCTGAGGACAATTGCTAGAAAATGTGCAGAGAAAGAGAAACTCTGACAGATCGAGGATGGCAATAAAAAGGCAAAACCAAACACAAGAACCAACAGACAGGAATGCTTGGGTAAGAAGCCTTGGTGGAGATGGAGTGCCTTTCCGTTTTTTTCTCAAGATGAGAGACAAGAGGACAATATTTTTTTAAAAAAATATCCAGCTGAAAACAGGTTGTGTGTCATGCAGGTGTCTACTTTGACAATTGCACACCAGGCAGAAGTTAAAAGCATAGCATATGGATAATTATAGCTCCAGGATGTTTCATCTGAGCGAAGTACATGGGAAGTATGTCACCAAACATTACCATGAAAAACTACGCTCCTCCTTTTTGTGGAAATTGCAGTTAGAGTTCAGAATGCACCAGCCCATTGTTCTGCAGCCCCCAAACAGATAAAACATACTGTCTCTTTGCATGGTCCACCATGTCAGGAAGAAAAAAAATCACCGCCTAAGGACAGGAAGCTATCTTAAGATCAAACCCAGGATGTAAAGGTCCTGAGAGCAAGCTGGGACACACTTACCCATCCATCAATCTCCACTGTGGCCTCTTTGATCTGTGGCACGCAAGTGTACTCCCAGTCCCAGGTTACTCTGTGTCTCATGACTGGAACACTGGTGGGGCCCTAATTGCTTTGTGCAACACCACCTCAGCATTTAGGGGAATAGGCTCCCATCTCAAATACTGGGATATTACTGTATATCATGCACAACTGCGGCCAAACGATTGGCCAGTAAAGCAACCAAATATAGCAGAGAGTGCAGAGACACAGTCCAGCAGCTGAATGTTTTCAAAGACATAACTTTACACCGATAGTGCATGCAAAAGGGAAAGAAGCCTTGCAAAGACTATCAGAAATCCAATTCATTATGCATATATTGCCAGCTATACAAAAGTGGAACCGGTGGATAATAGTGTAGCAGACTGGCCAGCTTTCCTCTTCTTTTTTTTTGGTACTTCAGGAAGACAGAGGTTTTAGACATGGGCAAATTAAGACACTTGTGGTACCTGACTTACAATGGCCAAGAGTATTCATCTTAACAGAAAGCTTACAAATCTCTTTTCATTGGACAAAAAACTTTCCTCTGTTCTCTTCCATCTCTCCCAGCCACTATAAGTAAATATTACCTGTTACTGATAGAGGACTCCCCATAATTTGGATAATTCAGACTTTATTTAAAAGATGAATGCACTCTCCTTGAAAAGGGGCACAATTACTATAGAACTGATGCTGGGGATCTACCACAGTTGTTTCTGAAGTTTTATTTTTAATTTTTCACAATTTCCAAAGGCTGGAGTCATGACAAACATCCAGGTACCAAATCTTAAAATGAGATTAAAATATATCTTTGGTGCCTTTTGTAGTGGATATTCCTTTTCTTTTGCGAAACAACAAACCATTAGTTCAAAAACGCCCACAACTATCTGCCTGCCCTCAACAGCTTCCGAGCTAGCTCTCAACATTCATGTATGGAACAGCATAGCTGATCTCCTTACATACTCCTTGAAAAAAGAACAAGGAAGTTATTGGACCAGGATAATCTCACTGGCAGGGAAAATCTGCAAATTGCCCATGTATGGCCAAAAAACACAAGCCATCATTAAGTCTACATTCAGTCTGCTGCAACAAATTGTCCCGAGATCTGGCACCAGCAGATCCAGCAGCTTCATGAATTGAATCATAAATTACAAAGCTGCCAAATGTACCTAGCAATCTATTGCAGATGAACAATTTGGCAAAAGGAGCAGTGCCCCTCCTGCTAAGCTGATGGACTCTACTGTGTTCCTACGCATATTCCTTGGGCTTCAAGCATAGCTTCCTTTGAAGCAGCAAGTCCAAAAGGATGAGGTATGCCAAATTAGTAGGATGATGCTATGCCAAGGCTAGAATGTTGATCTTGCAATCTTCTTTCCCACAAAGTTAATTGACTCTTGAAGTATATTGGCAGTCAGAGCCTGTTCAAAAGCTGCCATCAGGATCACGTGACCAAAATGACAACAGACCCAGTGATGGCATCTTGTCTTCCCATTCAGGCATGCAACCAAGACCAGGTAATGCAGTATCTTCCTGCCTGTCACCTCTCCCTCAGGAACCTGGTTGTTTTGGCTACAAAATCCATCAGCCAGTTCACAGAGGGCTGATTCATTGTTTCTGATACCCTGTGTCTAGAATTATAAACCCCATGACCATTCTCAGAAATCAACGGCACTTTGGAGACTTCCTTGCCCATCAGCTCCTATGGTGGACTGAAGAGTGTTGTGGAGAGAATGCTGGCATAAAGAAGTGCCAAGATCAAATAAGTTTTAACTCCTGCAAATAAATGTGAGAAATTTGCTCATCCAGAAGCAATTCAGGATTCCAGGAAGTATTGGATCATTTCCTACTTTTACCTTGTCACCATGTGGTAGGGAAATAGTCTCACGGACCTACATTTAGACTGTATATAAACATGCAGCAGAATGACAGGGAAGTGTAGGGTGAATAGAATGGACTGGAGCATTTCAGGAGACAGGCAGAGGACTGTTGTTTTTTGAGTGCTCTCTTATCTATTAAAAACGTGCAGATGAAAACTAGTACAGAAACGGGAGTGATGAGAACTTTTGTCCCTGGCCTCACTAGCTTTCCTTTGTTTTAACAGAGAAATCTAAAACTGATCTTTCTCTGCTCCCGCCCCCCCATCTGTAAGATGAAGCAGTATGATCCTTTCCACCACATTTGCAATCCCACTGTACTGCATAGGTGGACAACATCTCAGAGGGCTACAACAGAAGCAGCAAGTTATAAAACTAAAAATGTGAGAAGCAACCCAAGTTTGTGTGCTAGGAGCATACCGTTGATGGAGGAGCAAGTAAATCTTACTGCACCTTCTTGAGGCCACATTAATATTGTCCAGAACTCTCTGATCTTTTCAATCTTGCCTCATGGACAAGGTGTCTGGTCAAAAAGGTTCTAAAAAAAGAGAAACACCACAGGAACATCTGAAAAGGGGGAGCTGATACCAAGAGCAATCACATGTCCAAGATCTGAAAGGATGTTTCTAGTGCTGGGAAAAGAAAAAGTACCCACAGTGATGATGGTAGCAGCACATGAGTGGGGTGTTCACACTTCTTGGAGAGACTGGTTAATTAAGTGCCCTTGGGAGGGGTCCATTTCAAACAGCTGGGATCCATGATTTTATTGCTGTTGGACCTCTTGGCCTCTTTGGCTATCCATTCATCAATAAGATCCTGAGAAGAGGGAAGGGAAAAAGACACAGGTTAAAAGCTTGGGAAAAATTATCTACAGAAGACAGAGCTGTAACTAGTATTGGCAGAAATTTCAAGCTAAGAAAGCTTAACAGTTTTGTTACTGCCCCTCTCCTTGGGTACAGTGTTCCACCTGAGATCAACCCAGCTGGTGTTTAAAAAAGCCTTGAAGACCTGGGTAGTTGGAAAACCTTTGGGTATTGATAGAATGGTGGGTTCCCACCCTGCAGTAGGTGATCGCTTGTAACTGAGGGCACCATTCCTCAGTGTGATGAATATGAGGGTTACCACTATTAATATTGTTTGCATTGGTTTATGTGATAACTTTTTATTGCTTTAATCTTTTGTTATGGCACTGATAAGTGATTGCTGCTCGGAATCATCTGTAGTTAAAGTGGCCTATATGCCTAAATCAGTACATGCACAGTTTTATGTCACAAAGACAGTTTAACAGTCTTGCTTTCTTAACTAAGAACTTCTGTGTGTAGGTCCTAAAAAGGCCCCTGACTGATTAATTTCAGAAAAGTCCTATTTTCCTGTATTTTTGCTACAGGTAGAAATCTGATACCACAGTATTTCAGGCTTGCTGTTTTAGAGAGTGTGGTTGTAATAATTTAGATGCATAAAAAAAAAACATAATAAAGGAAAGCTTTAGAAAACAACATGTTCACATATTGATTTTGTCATAATTCAGTTCTTCTGTTCACTGTATGCCTACAAAAAGGCCCACAGTCACCACAGATTTGGTGAAAAGATCATCTTGTTCTTAAGTCAGGATGCCTTAGAACAGGGTGAAAGCCACTTTCTTGTTTTTAATCAGAACTTAAACATCCACCACCAGGACCCCCTGTACAAAAATCATATATACTTCTAAGATTTTTTAACCTGAGAATTTGTTCTGAGCACCAGAACTGAACAGTGCTCACAGCTCTTCCATGCACAAATTCATTTCTGGTATACTTAATTTTTTAAAGTTCATCAGTATGACAGGAGGGGGAGAGAGTTCTTTGGTTGTTATTATTAGACTCTGTGACTCAGAAACTGAGCAATTCTTCCAAATCACCCAGAGATCTAACAGTAAAACAAGATTTATCTTCTGCTTACTCTTGGTTTAGACTGTGTATTAGCCAATTAATGTTGCAGTCATAAATGTAAACAAGAATTGTTGAAGGATTAGTACCACTGAACACAATAAGACTTACTTTCCTACAGGATTGCTCTGTACCATTCATTAGCTGCACACATGAAGTTATTAACAGGAGATAATGACTTTTTAAATAAGATCCAATTTATCTTAGTCCTGTATTCTCTTTGGAATTTGGTCCCCAACATGCCACACGAAGGCCAAGGGCAACTCTTAGCCTAAGAAAGAATATACACCCTGTCTTAAATAAAGCATCCCAGCTTTACTTGGAATTGTCTACATTTCAATTTTTCCATTTGTAGTGTCATGGCTCTTCTATTCAGGTGTCCTATATTCTTGTTTTCTAACGTGTGTCTGTCTTGGTCTTTTTAAGCAAACGTAACAACTGAAGCCAGTAGCTATCAGCACAAGCATAGGGAGAGCAAAATGTAAGGGATCAAAAGAGAAACAGGGATACCACGTAAATATTGTTTGCAGCCATCCAGAAATACTACAACCAACTTGTTTTGCTCCACAGAATGCTTACAGTGAGGATGGAGTGGAAAGCTTTGTAGCTCTCCAGATACTGGACTCCAACAATATTCAGACAGCTATGCGTTCCCATGAAAACTGAAGTCCTGCAAGAGATTTCTATGCTCAGGTAATGAATACAGACTCCCGTTTTCCAATGCAGCAGATCTAGGGCAGGAGAGCAATTCCGCTCCCCCCCCCCCATAAAATTCAGAACATACAGTTAGTACACACGAACATCCCAAACAAGGATACAGAGCTGCAAGGCAAACGCATACCTGTCTTTTTAGGACCAAATGTTTGCCTTTCCAGTACTTGAGCATCTGAAGGGCTTGCAGAGTGCTAACAATGTCAACAGGATTGACAGCTGTCTCTTGGCTGATCTCTGGAATTAAGAAATACAAGAGTCTATTATAATAGAGGAGTGGTAATGAAGTAAATACATGGGATGATCTACTGAAAAATTGCCCTGTCTCCTGCCCAGTCACACAAAGACTGGAAGCAAAAAGCAGAAAGTTCCCATGGCTTTGTAAAAGCACAGAATTTACCATTCTCAGAATTTATAATCACAAAGGTAGACTGAAAGCATGACTTTCAGAAGAGAGGTCCAAAGACCAAATGTGATTTTCTCCAGTCAAGGATTCACTGCCTTGCATAACTCCTTGCCCATCTGGATGAGCCTCAAAAACAGAATCAAACAAATACAAATTCAGCAGTTATGAGATACCATATCTTCTCTGGTATTGGAAGACAGAACAGAGAGAGGTATTTTAAGCTTCTATTCTTTGGAGGCATAAGATCAAGCCTTTTCTCCTCCTACAGGAAGAAAAATAGGTTGGAGTAACGGGGCTTGAGTTGTTTTCAAAACATATGTATATTAGCATGCACTTACTTATTCTCCAGTGAGATTCCAGATTATTTGAAAACTTTGGAATTCACTGACAAGCTTCAAAGGAAGGACAGGCATAAGGAAGATTAAGGATTAGGAATGGGGAAAAAATCATCTGGGGAAAAGCAGTCATGAGAGATTATCAGACTTTTTAATCTCTGCACATCTTGACCTATTCCCCAACAGGTTCTTAGGTTTTATTCATTTTAAAATACCTCCTCTTTTGTAACATGGTAAGACATTCTTGGCGAGAGTATGGAATAGGGAGGAGAATCTAAGGAAAGAGAGATGGAGAAAAATAGAACCCACCTTTGATGGAGATTTCTTTGCCTTGGAAATTATGCAGATAACGGAGAAGAACCTCCTTCCAGTAACTACGGTAGCTAATAAGTCCTAAGTCAGAGAGGGGCCTTTCCGGAGAACCAACTTTCTCTTCCACTTTGGAGAGTAAATAGCCTGTTTAGGGAGCACACATACTCTTTTGCAATTTGGTATTAAAGATATTTCTAGACTAGTTCCATACATGGCTCCATAAGCCCACCATCATCGGAGAGCTCAAATACTGTGTGGTGGGCAAACATCCCCAAAGTGTGTTCATTTCTCGGATTTAATGCATATAGGAAATAAATGCAGATAAAATGCAGCTGCACAGTGCAAATTTTAAGTTGGTTCAAAAGATAACACTGCCTGGGAAAAGTTGGCAACCTTCCTATCTGGGGATTCCCCCAGATACACTGGCCAACCCCCCCCCCCATCCCAGACAGTATAGAAATTGCTATCCAATGTATCAGGATGGGAGTAAATCATGGAAAGCTGTACTAGAATATAGTATTTGCTCAAATCAGATGCCAGAAGGGCGCTGTATCATGTGATTTCTACAGTAAATACTTGTCAGCAAATATTTAGAACTCTAATGCAGAACCTGCAGCACTAGAAAAGACAAGAATTTATCTTTGTAGGTCTTTTGACACATCAACACATTGTACCTCAAACTACTCTCAACCTCTCACATGATCTGGGATTGATGCAACCTGCCTGACTAGATTTCTTTAAACCATTCTTCTCACAGGATCTAGATGTGTTGGAATACTACTGCTAAAATTTCTAAGCAGTTGCTTTAGGCGTCCATTAGAGGCAGCGTGGTATACGTTTCTATCAGCTAAATTCTTTCTGGGTTATTTATTTGTTTTGGAAAGTTTAGGTAGCATTGTATTTCTAGAGAACTCCTCAGCATAAAAAAGATACCACATTCCTTATATTTGGGTGCTCCCATTTCATTTAAAAACTGAGACGGCCTCAAGTTTGTTGTTACTGCAAATGACAGCCACCAGCAATCACTTGCAAGGGTACTGTCATACTTTCTGGTATCTACCAGGGATGTGCAAAACATTTAGAGCTTAGAATATTCTGAGTTCAAAACGGCAGGAGAAAGTATTAGGTTAAACATTAAACATGAAAGTTTCCAACAGAATATTTCAAGTGGGGCTGTTCTGTTCTGAGCTTGAAACCAATTTTTCCATTTTGTGCTCTGCCCTTTCATTTAGAAGCTTGGAAACAAGATTCTGCTATGTTATAAAAAAATGCTATAAAAAAGAAATCTATTCCAGTTTTGAAAGAATTCTTAATTACAGATAGACCTAGACTTACAATGGCAATTAGGACCAGAACTTCCACTGCTAAATGATGCAGTCCCTGCAGCCCTGATTGCCGTTGTTAACGGAATCCCATGGTCCTGAGGGGAGGAAATCTCCTGCTGGCTTCAACCAAAGTCAGTGGGAAAGCCGGCAGGAAGTTATAAGTCCCAGGCTGGTAAGTAGGTAAGTGGCTACTGCTGCGTGGGGGAGGGAGTGAGGGGATGCGTGGGAGTGCAAGGGAGGGTGCATCAGGGTGTGTGAGGGCACTACGTGGATCAGGGAAGGTGCATGAGGGTGCAAGATGTACAAGAGGCACTGCACGGGTTGGGGAGGGTGTGCGAGGCACCACGTGGGTTGGGGAGGGTGTGTGAGAGATGCTGTGCTGTTCAGGGAGGGTGCATAAGTGTCTGGTGTGGCGCGAGCGCAGAGGGGTTGGGGGAAGGTGACCAGGTAGGGGAGACTTATCCCAATGACTTGCCAGGTTCCCCATTAACTTTCGGGGGAAGCCAGTAGGGAAGGTTGCGAATGGCAATCATGTGATTACGGGACACCTGGCAACCAATCATAAGTGCGAACAGGTTGCCAAGTGCCCAAATCGCAATCCCGTGACCGTGGGGGCTCTGGGACAGCCAGAACTCCAAGGACCGATAGTAACTACCATTCGTTCAGCGCTGTCATAACTTCAAACGATCGCTGAACAAATGGTCATAGGTTGAGGACTACCTGTATGTTTATTATTATTAGTTATTGGCTACTATTATTATCTACTGGCAACACATATATAAATAAATTTACTTACTGAAGTCGATAAGCATTTTGCCATAACCCTGTCTCATGTACTGAGGCATTGTCAGTATGCAAGAAACGTTATAGTTGAGAAATGAGTTCTTCTCCTGAAATTTAACAAGATAGTACTTCAGCCTCATGTTTCATAAGAATTATGTTAAAATATAGTTAATAACATACTGGCTCAAATCTGAGCAAAACAAGATGGCTGAAGAAAACAAGATATTCCCAATGAAGCATATTCATTTGATCTACCCAAGCCATCAGGCCTATGATTATGAGATATTCACCTCCATTCTGTCTTGGTATACCAAATAATGTTTTCTGAACCTCAGCTAATAGTGAGACAAATCAAACTTTTCCTTGTTTGGTTTGTATAACCACTCTCCAAAATACCCTATCCTACTTTCAGAAGGCTCTGGAATTCTGAAACCCAGTTTCTTTATCGACCATTCTCTTCCTACTTCAGTAGGCTTTACCAGTGATCCCTTGGCTGCATCTATTTAGCACCATTACATTCACTGGTGGGTTTAATCAATGCCTTCTCCCTATTTTATCACTGGGCCATGTCTGTAGGAGGCATAACTATAGCTTCTAATCTAGATGGCAGGTAGAGGGAGATACATATCAGGAGAGTGATAGATTGTCCCAACAATTTAAACTAGTTGTATGAGGCTTCCAAAACCCATAGAAATTGAGAACCAGAAGCACACAGTCAATTCATTTTTTTGTGTAAGTTGAGAATTAATTTAGTGTAACCAGCTAGGCAAAAATAGGTATTGTACATAATGTCAATACAAAGAGGTGCAAAGCAAAATTTAAAAGCGCTGGAATCTTAACAGTCAACTTACACAATTTTTGTCTTACATGTAATCCAAATCCTGAATCACCATTCTGGAAAATGACTTCCCATTGCCAAACGAGGAGAAAATCCAAGCTGGCCCACTTACATTGCATTGATCAATTCATAAAACGTATCTAGAAATTAGGGATAAAATAATGACTGATAAGATATTTAGCACATTCTACAGTATGCCTTCTTGTTTCACACAATAATTTTACTTATTATTCATTTATATATATCAAATGTATATGGCCGCCCATCTCACAAGAAGAGACTGTGGGCAGCATACTTGTTCCTCATGCCGCTCCAAGAATTTCAATACTCCTCAATCAACAACCCAGGGATGAAGACTTAGCTGGTAAATTTGTCAGACTAGATTATCAAACTCTTTTAGGGTCAGCCTGCCAGATATCTTTCTCATATAAAAGTTCAGAGGAAGATCTATGAAACTTATGGTAAACCAACTCTAGATCAACAGACCAATGAACAATCGAACTCTTTCTCAGACCAGCTTATCCCAACCTGGTCCCCTTGAAGCTAATATAGTTGTTGCAGATAATTCTGGGGGTTAAAGTCCATTAATCTAAAGAATGCACAGGTTGGTAAAGGCTGTTCTAGAACTTTCAAGAAAGCTCAGAAGGTAGCCAGACACTATTAGTTTAGGAAATAGCTTTGACAAGCTTATGTGCTAAACATTTGCTTGTAGGTGGTGGTCTCTACCAAACAAACAAGAATATATTTGAAGTCCTGATTTCTAGTTAAGAGTTAATTGTAGCTAAAATTGTAAAACATTTGTAGAAAAAGGGAGTTTGTACATGTGCTTATTTATGGAACTGAGAGCATCATATGCATTAAAAAATCATTTAAGTCTGCTATCAAAGTTACATATGTAAATGAGCCTAAATCATGTGAACTCCAAAGCCATTATTCCTTGGATTTTTCTTTGGATACCAGGTTTGTCTAAACTAGGATGTGAAAGCTTACAACATTTTTTCTTCAAATTTTTATCACTAGGCCTTTAGTTTGTCTCCAAAACTGGAATTTCTGAAATATTTCCTAACAGCTGTACATTTTCAACGATAAATTAAAAAGTTTAGATATGGAAGAAACTGATCTATGTTTAGAAACAGACAAAAATCAAGAAATAAACTAACATGTAAAAGAGTAGAGAAGCCTGTCTGATTAATCTTCAAGAATCAAAAGGATCAAAAGAAGGGGAAACTATTGATAGTATTAATTAGATAACATTTCATGTGGTAAAATTAAGTTGGTATTTGTCCCACATTTTCTATTGGACAGAGTGGAGGATAAAAGCCTGAATATCTTTTTTTGTTTTATAACATTATTATTGTCACTTTCTGTTTTCAACATTAGGAGTAGCAGGCAGGCAGAACAATAAACAGACACAAATGAAGAGAAGCTACATCCTTTACAATTCAGTAGCTTTTCGCTCCATTTGTAACAAATATCAAAAACATTTTCAAGTAAATTTAATCAATATATTTATCACTGTCTAAATAATTTACACTTTTCCATTTTATATATTTTCATAAGCAAACCAAGTTACACATA